AGCGTGAAGCTCAGCGACGATGAGGCGATCAGCACGGTCCGCTGGCGTCCGGGCAAGGACGCCGTTGTCCTGGCCGCCACTGCAGGAGACGATATCTTCCTCGCCGTGCCTCCGATCGTCAACCCCGAAATCGAAAAGGCCAGTCTGGATCTCCTCGACGCAGGCTGGGGTTTCGCCGCTTCCCGACCGGCCCCTAGTGCCTCAGAGGAGGGCAAGAAGAACACGCCCCCGACCTGGATCCGTCCCTCGTCCGCTCTCGTGGACGCTGGTGTGTGTGTCGTAATCCCCCTCCGCTACGTGCCCAAGACGATATCCTGGCACCGCCGCGGCGACTACTTTGTGACAGTCTGCTCGGGTGCCTCGACACCCGCCTCTGTCGCAATCTCAATTCACACCCTCAGCAAGCACTTGACACAATTCCCCTTCCGACGCCGCCTAAAGGGTGGTGGTCCCCCTCAGACCGCCCACTTCCACCCGTCGAAACCGATCCTGTTCGTCGCCAACCAGCGCTCGATCCGCGCCTACGATCTCTCGCGCCAGCTCCTCGTCAAGATCCTGCAGCCCGGTGCACGCTGGATCTCGTCGTTCGATATCCACCCGACCTCTTCGAGTGCATCCGGCGGCGACAACATCATTATCGGCTCATACGATCGTCGTCTGCTTTGGCACGATCTCGACCTCTCCCAGCGGCCCTACAAGACCCTGCGCTACCACCGCAAGGCTATCCGTGCCGTCAAGTTCAGCAGCCGCTACCCACTCTTCGCAGATGCTTCCGATGATGGATCCCTGCAGATCTTCCACGGCAGCGTTACTGGAGATATGCTCAGCAATGCTACCATTGTGCCGCTCAAGGTTCTTAAGGGCCACAAGATTACTGGCGAGCTGGGTGTCTTGGATATCGACTGGCACCCGCGCGAGGCGTGGATTGTCAGTGCTGGTGCCGATGGAACGTGTCGCTTGTGGATGTAATCTTGAGATGCCGTTGCATGATGTCTGACATTTTTCTGGGCGTTTTTCTCTATTTATTTTTTTGTGCATAATCTTCCTTTTGTATAGTTATCTTACAAAAAAGTTGGTCCTATAAAATTTTCTACTTGGTATCATATCAGAACAGTTAGGATGATCCATCGTGGCTCAGTAGTAGCGGAAGGGATATGGAAATAAATGATGATGTTCAATCAAATAGCAAATGTTCAAGGTATCTTATGTCCACGTTCCCACGGAAGAAAAACTGGGAGAAAAAAAAGAAAAATCTAGATCTAAATATGTAAAGATGTATATCCCAAGAGAAGTACATATACAAATCAGCCTCGAACTCAGACCACACCACCACTCCAATCCCTCCTGAGCTTCTCGTACTTCCTCAAGTCCGTAACACTAGGCCGAACAAACGACTTAGCGGCAACAAAGTCAACGAACTTGATACTATCACGACGCTTGATAGCAGAGTAACCAGCACGACGCAACAAACTGCCCAAATCAGCACCACTGAAGCCCTCACACTCCTCAGCGAGTTTGCGCAGATCCTCACTAAACTCAATAGACACTTTCCGGAGAAGAGTCTGCAAGATCTCGACACGCTCGAGCGGCGTGGGCAGGTTCACAAAGAGAAGGGTCTCAAGACGGCCTGGACGCAGCATAGCAGGGTCAATAATATCAGGCCGATTAGTCGCAGCGATGACATATATACCCTGGCGACTACTGCCGAGGCCATCAAGCTCCGTGAGGAGTGTGTTGACAACACGGGCGGAGGCCTCAGAGAGCGTATCATCACGGCGGGGCACGAGGGCGTCGAGCTCATCGAAGAAAATAACACAGGGCACTGAGGAGCGCGCGCGGACAAAAACCTGGCGAACAGCGCGCTCAGACTCACCGACGAACTTGTTGAGCAGTTCGGGGCCCTTGACACTGATGAAGTTCGCGCGGGATTCATTGGCGACAGCCTTTGCGAGGAGCGTCTTACCGCAACCGGGCGGACCCCAGAGGAGGACGCCCGTCGGCGCGGTGATGCCGACTTTGGCGTAGATGTCGGGGTTCTTGATTGGCTCGACGATGGCGGTGACAAGCTCCTCGCGAATGCCGCCAAGGGCACCGATGTCGGCCCAAGTTGTGTCGGGAATTGTAGCGAAGCCCTCGCGCTTAGAGGAGGGTTGGATCTTGGGGAGGGCTGTGAAGAAGTCTGCGTTGGAGACGAGGACGACTTCTGTTTCATCGCCGATGGGGGTTTCTTTAGCGTGGATAATAAGGCGGCGAAGTTCGCGGACTCGCGGGCTGATATCGTCTTCGCCTTCGATTTCCATCTCCATTTCTTCGCCGCTGTTCGACTTCAGGATCTGGAGGTACCGCTTGATGGCGGCTGAGCCGGCGGTCGAGACGAGATCGTTGAGATCGGCGCCCACGAAGCCGGGAGTTCGCTTAGCTAGCGTCTTGAGGTCGATATCATCTGCCAAGCGCATTTTGCGGGTGAGTGCGCGTAAGATCTGTTCTCTGACTGGCTCTGAGGGCACGGTCATGTTGATTTCCTTATCGAAACGGCCACCGCGACGCAGAGCGGCGTCGAGGCTGTCTGGGCGGTTGGTTGCCGCGAGTACGATAACGGGTTTTCCATCTGTCTTGTCGAGGGCAATATCGTCCATGCAGGTCAGTAGCTGCGCGACGATTCGCTTCTCCATCTCTCTCTGAGCACTCTCGCGCTTCGGCGTAATCGCATCGATCTCGTCGATGAAAATGAGACAGGGAGCAAGACGCTTGGCCTCTTCGAAGTACTCGCGCAGGGCTTTCTCGGACTCTCCCGACATTCCTGACACGACCGAAGGCGCAGAGATTGAGATGAAGGGCACACCCAGTTCCGCTGCGAAAGCGTTCGCAATCAACGTCTTACCACAACCTGGCGGACCATGTAGCAATACTCCGCGCGGGGGCTGCACGTTTGATGATAGATAGACCTGCGGCCGGGTCATGGGTAGAATAATCAAGTCCCCAAGTTCCTGGACAACATCATCCAATCCACCCAAATCGGCGAGACTGACATGTGTTGGTGGCGAACGATCTGCAGGCTCAGCTTTGCGTCGCTTGGACACAGATTCTCCGCCATGCGTTCTTCTCTTGGAGGAGCTGGGTGCCGGGGTGCTAGCGGATTCGGTCTTTTTGGCCTTCGTTGTTGCCCACGAGCCGACGACGCTTTGGTTCATTCCATTGGGTTCCTGATATAGCAATTCCAATCAGATTTTTCGTCTGATTCGAGCAAAATATGCGCGGTACATAACCTACCGTAGCAGCAGGCTCCTCGAGTCCCTCAAAGTCCCCCTCCACGGAATCCTCATCATCTTCACCCATATCAGCTTTGATAACCTCCAACACTCGCTCAAGACTGTCTTCAATGAGTCTCTTCGGTTTGCGATTCAAACTTGAGTTTGATTTCTTAATTGTGTCATAAATCGCTGGGACCGATAGTCGGATGCGCCCAGTCTCGGACTGGTCGTCAATGATCTTGCGCACGATCTGGTAGACCTGTTTTTTTTTGGGTGAGTCAAAGCCAAGAAGATTCATTGTATACACACCTCACGGTCCAGACCCTGACTGAGGGTCGGCCTGCCTCCCTTCCTAGCAGCCATGATTCGATATGGTTGTTATGCAAAAAAAAGGCCGCGGGCCCGAAATTTCGGAGATTGGAATTGTGAAAGATCGGTTGAAAATTACAGGTAATTACGCGCCCGTTACATAACGTCACTCATGTCTAGGCCCGCATCTACATATGGGGTTTCTCTCTTCTCTTCATCAACATGGGAAACTCGAGTAGTTCGCAGAAGATATCTGCCCAGGATCGGTGGGTGCAGACTGCTGTTTATTTTATACATACAATATCAACAACCCATTCTCAATCCCGCCTCCCAGAGCGTTCTATTATTGTCCTCACGAGACCCCTCATCCCCACCCAGCATGCCCATTCAGGGAACGCAATAGTATGATTTTACTAACCAAACACTCTGTGGTAACTGTAGGGCAATTCTCGACCTCAAAAATCAACGCGACAGACTGCAGCAATATCAGCGACGAATAACCGTCCTCACAGACCGCGAAACGGAAATCGCCAAGGAATGTCTCGCGCGCAATGATCGGCGGCGAGCACTACTCGCCCTTCGCCGCAAAAAATACCAGGAGTCGCTCCTTGCGAAGACAGATGGTCAACTCGCGCAGCTGGAGCAGTTAACTGGGCAGGTGGAGTTTGCGCTTGTACAGAAGGACGTGTTGTTCGGATTGCAACAGGGTACAAAGGTGCTACAGACTATCAACAAGGAGATGGGTGGCATTGAGGGTGTTGAGAGATTGATGGGGGAGACTGAGGAGGCGAGAGCTTATCAGGAGGTATGTGCCTCGTTGTTTCTTGTTCTTGTTCGGTTTTGCTGACGGTTGTCATAGGAGGTGAGTCAGATGCTTGCGGGTCATTTGACGAATCAAGATGAGGATGAGGTCGAGGATGAGCTGGAGGCTCTGCAGCGGGAACTTTCTGGTCCTGAAATCCTGCCTGATGATGTCGTACTGCCGAGTCCGCCTACTGCTGATCTGCCTGTTGAAGAGCCGGTGCCAGAGTCGACTCAGAGAACCAAGGCTAAGGCTGAGACTCGGACGGCTTTGCCTGCTTAGTGGGGAGATATGTTGGATACTCGTTGCACAGCATCAAGCATTGCATTAAATTGATCCATAGCATTTTTTGGCGTTTCAGCTTCTTTGTTTTTGTTGCCTATATTGCTGGTAGAGTTCATGTGTCCTATGGCGTTACTGGTTGGCTTTATTGCTTGTTGTCATACTCGTGATCTATATATTATGACACCATCAGTCCGAGAAATGATACTCAATATATGAACCCACTTCACTGGAATGAAAATCACACAACATCAATGAAATCTATGTAGAAGTACATAGTAGTAGAATGGTATTGTCGTTAATCATGACTGACCCAAAACACACCAGGTCATACTTCCCCCTTGAACGAACCCTATCTATTGCCCAGGCATAATACTGCCACCGATACCACTAACACCAGGAATAGAGACATGATCCTGGGGGTTCGCCGCAGCCTCATAGAGGAAATTAATCGGCTCCCGGGTTAACTTCATGAACTGCCCCTTGAAGCCTACATACCCAACCTTAGTAACATCCTCCTCCCCATCACTCCAATTATCCTCAAAGAAAAGCGTGACAAAGGTAGTCGCATTCCAATGAGCACGGTTCAACGGTAATTCAAAGACATCGGTGCCGGGTATAGGCTGCGGGACCTCAATTGTTTGAGTCGGGTGCAACTCCGACGCGGTTGAGAAATCCATATCGTCGCGATTCTTGAAAAGTTTTATTGTCTTTGGGGCGGAGCTTGTAGGCGCTGTATACAAGAGGAGGGAGTGGACGTTAACCTGGCCGTTGAAGCTATATTATAGAAGCTCGGATTAGTTTGGGGTTGGCGATAACGGTGAGGGGTCAAAATGGTGGGGGTGTGTTTAGGATTTTCGTGACGCATCGCAAGGGATTGAACATCCACTAGAAAATGTAGGATATATGTGTGGAATGAGCGAGACTCACGGGATGGTCATGAGCAGTTGTTCGTCGGCATCACTTTCGAGCTCGGGCTTGTCGTTTAGTCGCTCGGCCCAGGTTTTCTGGACGATGGCTGTACCAGAGTTTGGTGTCGTCTCTGTCAAGATTCAGGAATCGTCAGCAATAGTTGCCTGGTGATCACGATGGTCATGCGTACCATTTAGGGTTGTGATCAGGTCGAAGTTGATCTGGGAGTAAAGGAGGGATTGGATGGCTGGAGTGATATCGTTGGTATGGTCGTGATCTTCGCCGTGGCAGTGGCCATCGTGGTCATGATGGTGCCCTGACATTGCAAGATATTGGTATAGATTTGATGTTGTACAGGATGTGGATAAGACAAAGATGGGTTTGGATATTTGAAGGTGAGAGGTGTCTTGGAAGCTCTCCACTCCCGTGACGTCGTTTTATCCCGAGGGATCACATTGTTCGAAGTGAATTGATATTTCCTTGTATTAATTTACAATGTAGGTACTATATCTGAATATCTCACTGTACAGTACAGTGGCCCAAATTGCCTCTGTCGCTTTTACTGCCTTGGTTTCCCTCGATCGATAAAATGCAACCAACACACTATATCTCAATTCCACAGCTTCTTCAAACGCCTGGGTATTATTGTTTCTTTCCTCTCTAGCTGAATTCAAGGTGCTATTATTGTCTGACTCGGTAATAATCCGGAGCATACTCCAGCAGGTAACTCTTCTCGATCTTAGTGACATCGCGGATGTAAGTTTTGTCACCCGTTTGCATGATTTCGTGGAATATGACCCAGTCGGCTTTTCGGTTCTATATTCAAGTTAGTAACCCAACATGGACTTTCCCACACATGATTTATGGGCACTTACAAACATCAACGAGGTGGGGTGAGCATAAAGAGTCAGACCACCGCTGACAGTCTTAAAGGTTCCATCCGGTTGCATCTTCGCCGCGTGAGCAAAATAGCCCGTCGTAAGACACCGCCGAATCTGCTCCGGCTGCTTGCTTAAATCGGCTGCGCCGTGACGGGATGAAAGTGTCTCATCGACTTGAATGCCAAAGCGTTCTAGGTACCGTTTCAACTGGCCTCGGATACTCACTGCGCGCAGCAGTGCCCGGTAATTCAGGAGGTTGTCGCGACACCATTTTGAATCTTTCTTCCCCTTGGTGACAAAGGCTTGGTACACGTTCAGGTAAGTCAAATGATCGCCCTCTTCAACGGCGAACTTTCGCCGGTGACTCTCGGCAGATCTTTTGTCTCCAGCATGTTGAACCCACACGGTCCCCTGTAGGTTGACCATGGCCGCAATTGTGAGGATTTCACTCAAACAATTGAAAGATGGTGCGGTGAGAAGAACTTTGGCCATCATAGGATCCAGGGCAATTTCTGCCATCCGTACTCCAAGAGGTTTCGTGAGTTTGGCATAGTCGTCAATCGCACCGAGAGAAGACAATAGCTCAAGTGCACGAATAATAAGTTCTGCCGGCGGAGGGGTCAAAAAGTCGAACCGGACAATGTTGTCAATGCCCAGTGCTTTAAGCTGCATAATGACGGGTGCGAGATTTGACCGCTGGATTTCAGGTACGGTTGCTTCCGGCATCTGCTCGAACGCTTGCTGCGTGTACAGACGGAAACATTTCCCTGGTTTCGTTCTTCCAGCGCGGCCAGCTCGTTGGGTGGCGGATGCTTTTGATATTGGCACTGCAGTCAATGTATCAATACCAGTATTGGGGTTGTATGCCCTGAGTTTGGCAAAGCCGGAATCAATCACGTATACAATCCCATCGATTGTGACCGAGGCCTCGGCAATGTTGGTGGAGAAAATGACTTTTCGGGTGTTTTCTGGAGTCGGCTCGAAGACGTACATTTGCTGTTCCGTGGTAAGTCCAGCATAAAGTGGCAGTGGAAGCAAAGAGGGCGCCTTAGGATGGAGAGTTGCCGCTCTTTCGGATATCAACTGGATCGCAGTGTCGATCTCTTCCCGGCCAGTCAAAAAGAGAAGTACATCGCCTTCTGGTTCTTGGGTATGGATATCAAAGACGGTCTTGACTGCTCGTTCTATGTAATCTTCTGCCGGAGACTCAAGGAACACCATGTCAACTGGATACATTCGTCCTTCCAGACTGATGATCCGGCCAACGCTTCCACCCAAATCCGCCGGCTCTGCCTCGGGCCGGTACTCGTCACCCGCGAAGAAACGAAGAAAGTCCTCTGCTTGGAGGGTTGCACTACTAACAATAATGCGAAGTTCAGGGCGCTTCTTGCGGATCTTCTTTAGAGTCCCGAGCAGCACATCGGTACTGAGAGATCTTTCATGTGCCTCATCAACCATGATTACTGAATACCGCGAAAGTAGGGGATCAACCAGGGCTTCTCTGAGAAGCATCCCATCTGTCAAGAATTTGATTCTTGTTGCAGGAGATGTCAAATCTTCAAATCGGATAGAGTAGCCCACCTCTTCGCCGACTTTGCATCGCATCTCTTCTGCTACCCGCGTTGCAACCGTTGTAGCAGCCACCCGTCGGGGCTAGAACAGAGTTAGTCGCTACTTAATTTTAAGTATGATTGGATCAGTGCTCACCTGTGTGACAGCAATGATCTTCCCATCCTCACACCATCCTGCTTGGTCTAGATACTGCGGAAGCTGGGTTGTTTTCCCACTACCTGTTTGGCCCACCACGATAGTGACGGGGTATTTCTCAACCAGGTAGAGCAGATTCTTTTTGTGACGTGCGATAGGTAATAAAGCAGCCGGTTTATACAGAGCTGGAATGAAAGAGGTCGAGAGCTCCTGTTCTGAAGCCATTTTAGACCGAATTTTAGCTGAGAACGAACTCTGCTGGATTTGAGCCCGGTTGTTAAAAGAAACCAAATTGGGACTGGGCCATTCTGAGGTGTCAAGCGCTTTGCAGATTGGCAACTTGGAGATCGTCGGAGTTCTCGCAGAAACATCCAGGGCGATCTGTATAAAGCAGCCCACTATCACGTGCGCCCCACGTCACTTGAAGCTTCCCCGATATGTTCTGCTCTCAGACATTCTCAGGCAACACAGTTTTTGTGAATTTCCCTTCAGTCACTTTCAATACTCTGGCAGGTCCTGAAGATACATCAAGATGTCAGAGGAGGAAAAGATGGTATGTTTCAACCGGGTATCATCTCTTATCGCATGAGGCTCACGTTCATACCTAGAACACCTCCAGCAGACCCTCAGCTGCCCTTGGTTCCTCTAACAGCCCCCGAGCCGAGTCACCGACCACCGCGCGCCCGATGGACTTTGACGACGAGCCCCAGGAGAACGGGATTATTACGTCCGACCCTATCGCTACTCAGCCAGCTGCCGCCGAGGCAGCCCCGCCAAAGCCGCCCCGGCCCCTGAACCCGAGAGAACAGTCGGAGAACACCCTTAAGGAGGCATTTCCAAGCATAGAGCCAGGCGTCATCAAAGCGGTCCTGACCGCAAGCAATTGGAATGTCGAGCCGGCGTTCAATGCCCTCCTGGGTTCGTGGGGAATCTACTAAGAAATGAGTATGAGCTGACCACGACCTCGGCTTGCAGGTATGACCGACCCCAAGGCCCAAGAGGAGATGGCACCCCCGCCAAAGCCGCCGCGCCCAAGCCAACAGAGCACTGCTGCACAGCGACAACTGGAAGCCGATGAGATGTATGCACGTCAACTATCTGAGCATTACAATGCGGCAGGACGTCGCGCACCACCCCCGGGCTGGGAGAGTGATCCCCGATACCAGCGGCCTAGAGGAAGCGAGGAGTCAGAGGAGAGAGAATACAGCTTTTTTGATGGTACGGTTTATGGTGGCTTGCCGAATGGGCTCGTGCTAACTGGATGTTTACAGATGATCTACCTGTGATTCGCGAGAACCTCCGCAAGGGCTTCCTGGAGACGCAGAGTAAGGTTAACTCGTGGGTAACAAACCTGAAGAAGAGAATTGACGGAGAGGATCTGGACGAGGAGCCTAGCCATAATCAAAGAGAGACTCCTGTCCATGCCCGGCCCCGACGTAGTGGTGATATGGGCCGTCGCAGTGGAGATCGTGAGCGCTACGACGCGGACCCCAAGGTTCTCGGGGATGATTTCTCTGCTCTTGAGTTAAGGGATGGAGAAGGTAGATAGCGATCTCAAGCGTGGCATCATTGGGCCTTGCTAACTGTGCACAGCTCCCCCACCTCGCCCCCCTCGTCCGGGCCACCCCAGCTCTAAACCATCCGCATCTCCTTCTCCAGATAGGCGTAAGGTGTCTTTCCAGGATGGACCGCCCGTCGAGATCGACAACCTTTACGATGCTTCCACGCCATCCAAGCGTCTCAGCTCAACAGGCAACAAGGCGAGCAAATGGCAGCCACTGTCCACCGTTGAGCCTTCTCCCGTCGCGGAAAATGACCCATTCAGCCTTGGCGATAGCGATGATGAGAAGGAAACTAAGATCAAGGAGCATACCACGGGCTCGGAGGGCAATCAGCTCAAGCACGTTACTGTCGAGTCAGTCTCCGACGAAGTGGGTTCCATGAACCAGGAGACCAAGGGCGCGAGCAAGCCCGACGAGTCAAAATAATTGCGAATGTCTGGAATTTGAATATCCCCACTGTTATCTGCGCGAAGCACTTCTTACCTTTCCTCCCAGCCCGTGACCATATTTATTTCCCCTGTCGTTCTACTCTGCCAACTTGCTCTGCTATGCGCTACCCACCTCCCTGATTTTACATACCTAGTAGAGGTAGCCCAAGACATTTTTCAACCTTCGAATACCTGCATAAACCCAAGCCAAATTGAATCTGTATTTGTACCGGAAAGAAACAAAACAAAAGGGTATATCTCCGACTGGCCCGTATAGTAGCCTCAACGCCAAAACCAAAACAAACCAACAGGCCTCGTTCAATTCACTGATAGGCATCAGGCAACTCCCGAGGTCTCTTACACCCACGCCAACTCCCCAAAACTATTACTCCATGGCGGGAGCATTACCCACGCGCTTTGAACCCGTCTCCTTGCGCAGATCCTTGATGACAGTCTGTAAAGCAGAGTCAGCTGAAAGATACCTCCAAAAGCCGAGTAATGCGCGTAGAGTGCTGTTATTGGTCTCGGGGGAAACGCGTACCGCCAAAGCATCGGGGTTGACCCCGTTTTCAATGAGAGACACACAAAGTGACAGCTCTGTCCGGTCCAGGTTGGTATTCTGTTCAAAATGTCAGTTTTAGGGTTACAGCTTTATCTTCTTTTTGTAAAGAAGAGAGAATGACAACATGGACTAGGCAGTCTTGAATTCTGAATCCTCTCTAGTTCAGTCCGGGGTGAGCACGCACCAGCAAGTCGGAGATCTCCTGAAGAATATCGATGACTTCTCTGGCAGCTTGGCGCTTGTCATCTGCCTGGTCTTGAGTTTTCGGCGGCATATTTTATTTTGATATTGAAGGTGGGGGTTGTTGAAGTGTGAGGCGGTTTTGCGGTTGAATCTGTGTGGTTGGAGTTGAGTTGATTGTGTGTAGTGTGGGACTCTGCTGCGGGTCAAGGCAAATCATCGACGCGCATATTATACGGAGTACTCCATACATCAACGTGATATTTGATATTTTGATATTCATCTGTATTCTCTAGGATACAACATTTTGGTATCATTTAAGATAATCTCTTGGAATCTAGGGAATATTATGAACACTAATGTAGGCGTTCTCTATTCAATTGTCAATAGATGACAATCTGCACACTCTCAATCCTCACGATAAATGCATGTAATAAATACATTGTCTACAAATGGTAGAACTGGCCCATAAGCAGCCACCTTGATAACTACCACTAAGATCTGGTGATCTTCCAACAGTGGATATGACGGTTTCGCACCAAACCCTAATCACAACCATCCCCCGCCCTCTTACTACCTTTAGACGTTAGGACTCGGGTGAGATAGAAACAGATCCAAAAGGGTGATTTACTAGGAAGAAACCCTGATCTTATGGCTATTTATGTCAAACGAACTGTGCACTAGTTAGAGTAATTATTAGGCTGATCTGGCTAATCCTAGAGCCAGTGAATACTTTCTTTGTTTTTCGGCATCCGGAAGTTAATAAATACCTACATGTATGTAAGTTTATACTCTTGTAGGGGACTTTTGTTTGCTATGGGTTGTGTATAGTATTTACCATATGTAGGTAGTAGAAATTCTTTCACGTCCTTTTCGTTTCCCTGTTTCCCTGTATGCCTTTTACATACATTTTTCTTATATTTACATAAAATGAGACTACTTTGCTTTACTGTGACAGCGTAACCCCATGCAATGGGCTATTATGAAGATATAGTTGATCCCCAAATAGCGTTACCCTACAGAAATGTCCTGGCATCGCTAATATACCTCTCGTGAGCATGTAGCTAATGTAGGTTTGTTTTGGGCATGTCTCTAGGAAGAGGTGATTGGAGACATATTGACAACACTGAGATAAACTTTTAGGACTGTATCAAAGTAATATATTGAATGGAGGTCAGGACGGAGAGCTGCATGATCGAGAGGTTGAGGTATACATGTGAGGCGTTACATCCTAGGACCTAAGCTGAGCACACGGCAAAAACCCTAGGAGGTCATACTTTGCATACAGCAGCTGTTCGTTCACGAGATCGAAGATTTATATAACAAGCTTGGAACATTCTAAGAACTAGGTCATGAAAAACGAGGATAGGGCCTCAGGCCCTCGTACTACATATGTACTATCTAGCTTGTAAGTTGTAAGCTTCAAGAGAAAGCTGCATATAAATAACCATTCAATAGAAGATAAGATGAAACAAAGGTGAATACAAATATCATCAGGTGATTCTATCCTCGGTTTTGTATCTGGAGAGGGCTGATATAGAAACGTGGACCGGGAAAAAATGGAAATGCGACGACATTGGTACGAGGCGAACGGCGATGCTAACTAAATGGTTAAGGTAAATGCGTTCAGAGAACGATGTAATCAACCAAAATAAAAGTCAAGCTGTACACACCGTACTTCAGCTCTTCTCTTACTCACATTTCCCACGATCCCATCTGCAGCCAGCCCTATCGGGTTGAGGCCAAACATCATGCCTTTCAGCGTGACTGCATTCAATAGGGACACGGGATTCGTCATCGTACCATCGACAGACCCAACAGCCTGGCAACAATTCCGAGACCGACCTTGTCTTTTCCTCGCCCGCAAGCTCTCTGCCTGGCGACCAGCCAACCGCCCCGACCTGCCTGAAAAACCTATCACTGTAGTCTGTATTGCAAACGCCCACAGACAGCGACCAGTGATACCGCATGGTGACATTCTGATCTATGCTGGTGGGTTGGCAGCAGATGGATCGCTCACCGAACTCCAAGCCACGCTGGACTGGCTACGATCTCAGCCTCACTACACTAAACTCGTTGTGGCGGGCAGATCTGACCGGTATCTTAACGTATTCAAGAAGGGGGGTGACCGCTGGAGATATGGATATCACAATGCGGCACAATGGAGCGACATCATCTATCTGGAACACGAGCATGTCACAGTGACTGCTCAGAATGGACGCCAACTCCAGATCTTTGGAAGCCCATACTCACCAAAGACTGTTCCGTTCCCGGCCTTCCAGTACCCTGAGACTGATAATATTTGGGACCAAATCCCTGGCAGCGTGGACATTCTCATCACTCACACACCACCATACACGCACCGCGACTCTCTCCAAGGATGCTGGCACTTGTTGGAGCGGCTTTGGAGGGATCCTCCCCGGCTGCATGTTTTTGGCTGTTCTCTTGAGAATTATGGCTCTGAACTTTTGCACTATGATGCTCTTCAGGAGGCCATGGAGCGCATTGAGGCTGCCGGTGGGGGCTTTGTCAATCTTCTGAAGGTGCTCAAAGCGCTTGTACAGTCCTTTTTTCGTCCTAGTATCAAAGCTAAAACTGCGCTCGTGAACGCATGCATTGAAGGGGGATTGTGGCATCCCGGACGCCAACCAATCACGGTTGTTATTTGACTTGGGCTGGAGATTGGTTGCCTATGTGCCTAGGCACTTTGCGAGGATGAGGTGACTCGATGCGTGATTTACCAATGAATGAACCACCTGCTTTAACTGTACATGCCTAGACGCGTAGATGAAATTGAGATATTGTCGACTCGTAGTTGTTTATAGATCAAGGGGATTCTCATTGGTCGAAACTCACCGGTGGGGACCACGACACTTTTCACTACACTCGATGTTTGAACTAACTTCCTACTTTTACACGGCATAAACTGTCACAGTTACAGTGTCAAATATCTGGAACAGGCGTGTTAAAACTAGTCAGCCGTGGTCTGGAATGGCACCTCGATGCGAAACGGGAGGAATGTCCGGCCTCACCATCTCGGACATTCATTCCTTAAAGAGGAACGAGGCACTGGAGATTCTTGCCCAAATTTCACGCGTCGAGAAAAAGACCTTCCCCACCAATGAGGCATTTCCATTCGGCGAAGATTTGTGGAGAAAGAAGCCTAACACGCGAGTTCTGTACGCGATTCGAGCCAAGGGATTGCAATCTGATCTAATTGCCTATGCGGTCTATGTCCGACAGAAGGGCGTTGCGCTCTTGCACAAAGTCTGTGTGACAGAGCCTAACCGCCGTCAAGGTGTCGGCCAGGAGGTGCTGTCCTACATTCAGCAGCGCCTACGAAAGGAGGGCTGCCAGTATATTCAACTCTGGGTGGACCAGGCCAGGGAGCCTGCACGCGCCTTGTATCTCCGAATTGGATTCGAGGAGCGTGAGGTCATCCCTGATTACTATGCCCCTGGACGAACAGGTATCAAAATGGTCCTGGATTTAGAAGCGTGATGGTTGAGCCACTGCCGTCAATGCTGCACTCCACGGGCTTTTTTCCCCCACTAAAAATGTGCCTTGCCTTATCGGTCCCTTTGTAATACATCCTAGGGACAATAAGTCATGGTGGTTGGACGCGTCTATGCTCCTTGGCTGCTGCAGGAGCCACCTATCGCTACCCCTTGCATGGACACCGGCATCTTCGAAACGTGAGATTATAGCGATCGGGCCTGTGTCCATTCTCCGCTGTCATTTTGCTACATACCTCCGTGATATCTAACATATCCAGGTATGGCTTTTTTCAAAGGGCACGCCTTGAATGTCTCCCTGGTCCCTTTGGTGCGAGAGGGACCGCGATCCTTTTCTGGAAGATCATGCGTGATACTCATTCATCTTCGTCCTGAATCTCTTTCTTTCCATCTTGACTACTTTCACTATTTTTCGCCGTGAGACTGGGAGCACCATTGGTGATTGGCGAGCTAGCCGTGTACTTTCCAGCTATATCCAGTTCCAGTGTTCTCGCGTTCTCTCAATCGACCATGGCGTTCTTTCTCACCATCGCGCTGGCTTTCCTGTCAGTCGCCACTGCAGCGTCACTGTCTGCCAATTATCCTATCAACGCGCAATTGCCACCTGTTGCCCGAGTTTCACAGCCTTTCCGATTTGAATTTGCCCAAAGTACCTTCTCCAACAGTGACGCGGACACTAAATACTCTCTATTAAACGCACCATCATGGCTCGAAGTGGACAGCAGCAGTCTCACCCTATCCGGAACGCCGCACTCAGGCGACAGTGGCGCGATCACTTTCAAGCTTGTGGCATCGAATGGATCGGAAAAAGACAGCATGGACGTTACTTTAATCGTGACAGCAGATCAGGGACCGACGGTGAACAAACCGCTTGTACCTCAGCTGCAGAAATTGGGACCGGTCTCGTACCCTGCCACACTGTTCATTCACCCCGGTATTCCATTCTCGATTGAGTTCGATCCGGATACCTTCAACAACACGCATCCTTCCACGATCTACTACGGAACATCGCCAAACAACGCCCCGCTACCTTCCTGGATCAACTTTGACCCGGCAGCCCTGAAATTTGTTGGAAATAGCCCTGCTTTTCCAGGCGCGGGGCCTCAAACGTTTACCTTCCAGCTGATCGCATCAGATGTAGCTGGATATAGTGCGGCCAAGATGACTTTTGAACTATCGATCGGTCCCCATATTCTGACATTCAACGAGACTGTCCAGACTTTTAACCTTACGAGGGGAGAGGAGTTCAACAGTCCTAATTTCACTAGTCTTCTCTCTATGGACGGTTCGCCAACTTCTATCAAGAAGCTGGCAAAAGTCGACGCTGAACTGCCGAATTGGTTGAAACTGGATAAGGACAATATATCGCTGAGCGGGACGCCACCGAATAATGCTGTGAACCAGAATATCACTATTGCCGTTACGGACTCTTTTCAGGACCAAGCGCAGTTGATGGTTCGCCTAGAGTTCTTGAAGCTGTTCCTCGATACTGTCGATGGCTGCGAGGCTGCCATTGGCCAGGAGTTCAAGTTTGTGTTCAACCAGTCTATTGTCACCGATGACTCTGTACAATTGGAGGTCGATTTGGACAACGACCTCACATGGCTTACTTACTTCTCGGACAACAAGACTCTTTACGGGCACGTTCCGGATGACATGGATCCTAAGAAGTACACCATCCCTCTTACTGCATATCAAGGATCGACCAAAGACACAATGGACTTCATTCTCGATGTGCTGAGAGCCTCGGACACACACTCGAATCCCACAGATCCGTTTACCAATTCTAACAGCCCCAACCACAAGAAGGCTGGCATCATCGCCATCTCAGTCGTGGTTCCATTCGTGGTGATTCTGAGTCTGCTGATTCTCTTCTGCTGCTGGCGTAGTCGCAAGAGCTCACCCACGGTCGAAGAAGGTCCGTCCGACAGCAAGATTCCTCCGCCACGACCTGTTAGGCCAGATGTTCCTAATTGTCAGCCATCCATGACGGAAAGACCTTCCCGTGATGACAATTCCGAAGATTGGATGAGTCCTATCTCCCCATCCTCGATTCCCAAGCTCGAACTTGGGCCCGCGTGGAACGTGTCATCATTTGATAAACGGGAGCACCCAGTTAATTTTACTATCCCTGAGCCCGTTGTTCCCCCTCGCTCTCCTGCTCGCAACTCTCCCACTCGCAACTCTCCCATTCGCGGGGGCTTTGTCCCACTACGAGACCCCATCACCCAAGAGGACAACCCAGTCCAAACTGTCTCACCTTCCAGGAAGCAAAACAATCGCCTCTCATACACCAACAGCCCCGTGCGTCGTAGAACCACCAACCGGTCCCGACGAGAGCCATTGAAGCCGATCCAAGCGCGAGCCGTGAAGCGAGAATCTCTCCAATCATCCAAGTCCAAGAGATACTCAAAGCGCTCAAGCGGTATTTCCTCCATTGCCTCTGGACTACCTGTACGATTCAGCGGAGCCGGCCATGGTGCCGGCGGCTTCGGACCTCCTGGACACGGCGTGGTGCACGCATCGTGGCAAAACGCACGAGCATCAATGCTGAGCGATGAGACTAGCCTAACAAATATGGCGCCAATTTTATCGCGTCCGCCAGCAGCAGGACGCATGCGCCACAGCATGGCATCCAGCATCCACGACAACCACAAGCGTATGACCCTACGCACTGTTGAGCCCGACGACTCCATCCTTTCCGAAGCCGACTCCCTCGAAGCCTTTGTCCACAGCCGAGCCAAGCACCGCAACTCCTCCAACCCTCTCTTCTCCGCGCAAATAAGCCGGCGCACTTCCTCGGGCATGCGCGCACTCGACCGAAACCGCAGCATGCGGAGTCGTGCCGACACCGTCTCCGTGTCAACCTTCAGCGACGAATTCCGCCAATCCATCCAAGAACGTCCCTTATCGACTGCGATGTCCGCCTCTGATTACGGTGACGACAGCAACAACAACAGCCGCTTCTCTCAATATCAGAACTCCCAATTTCAGAACCAGCCCGGTCTGTTTCCCCTTGCTGAGGGAAGCGTATATGGCCAGAGCCAGTTGAGTCTCGCACAAGACTACCGCGGTGCTATCTCCCCGCTGCCGCGGTTCTGGAGCGAGAATAGTCTGGGCAGTGCTCGGAAATTGGAGGGCCAGGGCACCTCTCAGCCTCAGAAAGTGAATGATGAAAATGCTATGCCGCCCAGCTCATCTATGATCTCGGATTTGGACGAACATCTGTCCCGCAAGGTCAGCCCTAATAAGGACCCCGATCATCCGTGGTGGTTGTCGTCGCCTCTTGAGCCCCCGCGGCCGCCGAAGAGTGCTGATAATCGGGGTCTTCCTGTAGCCAGCAGTGGGGAGCTGGCATTTGTTTGATCTTTGGCTTCTTCGCCTATATTTTCCTTGTTTAATGTCTCTCTCTCTTTCTCCGTTTGTCTTTCTTTTCTTTCTATTGTTGTTTCTGGCGTTATCCGGCATTGCGAGCATGATATCCATTGGCTTTTCTATGGTTGATTCGTTGGTATTTTGGTATTTTAGTGAAGTCTTTATGTTAATCAATCTAGTTCTAGAGCGAATAGTAATATCTCTGTATCATTGTTTGATCGTTATCGTAGTGGGCCACTGGGGCTTTTAGGATACACCGCTTGGCTTTCTAACATGGAATAACACAGTGCGATGCGATACACAAGTAGTAGCATGGCTTATGAGCGGGATAAGAGCACCAAAGAGGAATATTAATCCCTACATACAGGAATAGTGTAGATTTTGAAATTTTCGAATATGGCGTGACTGTACGGTGACTCCATGGCCCCTATTTATTATACATGGAGTTTCTCTTTGGCCTCAATGAGACACAGAATACAATATGCTAGATCCTACGTAGTCTTATGTATGACTTCTTTATAACAAATATCTCTGAACTCCTAAACATCCTCCAACATTCCCAGAGAACAGGCCAGACACCACCTCACGTGACTCTATAGAGGCACGGCGTAACAAAAGCGGTAAACGCAATACCAGGAAATCTCTGCGAGGGTCTTGTCTGGACTCGGACTTCTCTCTCCTAGCTTCCTTGAAACTTATCTTTCCAATCCTCATCTGCGAAAAATCCCTGTTCTTTTCCAAAAACATCCCAAGGCAAGAAATCCTATCGTCATCCGTCGTTCCCCACTTATCGCGGGACCCAGACGCGCGCTGAAAGCCCTGCGCCCTCATCTGACCCTTTCCCTACAGCACATCTCCTAGCATTTTCCACACTTCGATCCGGAAACCTCGAATCCCCCACCTTCCCCGAATTATTCAATCTTTGCCAATATGGGTCAAACCCTATCGGAGCCGGTGGTCGAAAAGGTGAGTCGATATTTCGCTTTTTTGATTCACACCCCACACTGGCCCATTGTGACCCTCCAATGTCCTTTCTTATGGCGTCGAAACACTCCCCTTTCTTGGCTCCTGTCATACCTCTGAACCAGGGGGTTATGGACCGAGTCCCTCTCAGTTCTTTCCGTTGAACAAATAGTCCGTGCTGTCGCTCGGAGGAATCTTCCTCGGGTTGCCATGCGGGGTCTTGGGTAGTTCAGCTGAGTAGTGGGGGGTGTTCGAGCAGCAACGAACTGGCATCGCAATCCTACCAGGCAGCCTTGCATATGTTGTAGAAAAGCATCGAGTGTTACTAACTTGTTATTTTTCGCTTGTTACAGACCTCGTCCGAAGGCGGGGATGACTCCTGTGTGTATGGTGTGTCGGCCATGCAGGGCTGGCGAATCAGCATGGAGGACGCCCACGCTACAATTCTTGACCTCCAGGCAAAGTATACCGGCACCAACGAAAAACCGACCGATCCGGAACACCGTCTCGCCTTCTTTGGTGTGTACGATGGCCACGGTGGAGACAAGGTGGCATTATTCACCGGCGAGAACCTGCACAAGATCGTCTCTCGGCAGGATGCTTTCGCCAAGGGCGATATTGAGCAAGCCATGAAGGATGGTTTCCTTG